TCCAGTGCCTCCTCTTGCCTGTGCTGCTACAGGTGAGAGAGAGGACAGAGGAGAGGCAGCTGAAGATGGAACCTGTTCATATCCAAGCAGGAGCTGCCAGGAAAGAATTCACATTACTCTGGAGGAAGACACACAATGTGCATATCTTTCAGGAAGCTCAGCAGCACTGAGGAGTAAGTGCCTATGACACAGGGCACTGACTGTGGTCAGTCCTTAGTTCTTTCCATTTGCTTGCTGAGAAGCTGGTTCTGACTATTTTTTATGATCAATGTAAGTAGAGAAGTATCTTAGATGAGGCCAAGATTCCTTCCCTGTATTATGCTCAAATAAGCATTGTTTTTAACAATGTGTGTGTAGGGGGGTGTTGTTGAGGTATTACAGACGCCGGGGAGAAGAGGAACTAAATCACAAATAAAAGATGTCTCCTCCGACGTTTCCATAAGAAATAGTAACTCTGCATCTCCTGCCTCCTCCAATTTATAACATTCCAGACAAGTGCTGCATCTTAAATCAGCTGAACACACAATAAAATTAGCTGTCCAGGAAAGCTAATAAAGGAACGGACAATAAACAGAGTGGAATTAGTAACAAGGATGAAGCAAAAGCTGATGAAATAAGTAACATCATGGTGAAAGCTAACAGAAATTTGTTCTTCTCTTGCTGTGTTCTTTTAGCCCACAGGTGAAAAAAACCTAAGCACAGCCATTATGAAAAACGACTGGAAAATACTTCAATAAATTAAGAAATGTCAGTAAATGAGTATTTTTTTTATTCCACGGTAATTCAAAAATTTGTTTTGATGCTCTGCAGTCAGATTATCAGCAGCATTAAGGCAACTATGAATTATAACTGAACTGAAATTACTACAAAAAAAGCACACATGCTTTAAAACAGCACATTTGTTGCTCATAATTTACATTTCAAATGCAAGAGTAGAAGAGGTATATTTATTTTGCAAGAGCAGACCACAAAACCTGTCATGTATTTCTCAGGATGAATTAAAAAACTCACACGACACCACTGCAAGAAATAAAAGTCATGTCAGAAATGTAACATTCGAAAACTTATGCTAAACACGCTTCCAGTCAAGCAGCATCTCCCAAGCTTTCTGAGCTGCTGACAAACCTCACTAAAATCTCTCCACATCTGCAGCCTAGTTTTCAGCTCTCAGAAAAGAGCAGGAGCAGGAAGTCCCTGTCCATTCCCAACTACAAATTCAGGACCTTGCCCAGGGTGATGGGCACCTTCACACTGAGACAGCAAGAAAACGAGCTGGGATCCTGCAGATGCTTTGGATGGAGTCTCTGGAACAGACCTGGTCAGGGACCATCTGAGCCGCAGCTGGATCCAACTGTTCCAGGAATACTGATTTTTAGTACTTCCCAAAATCGCCCGTTTCAGCAAGGAAAAGGACACTGCACCACGGTGCACACAAAACTTGCTCTAGGAGCTGTAGTAAATAGAGGGCTTTGTTTCATTAGCTCTTGAGCCAGAGCAAGTTTATTAGAACACAAGATGTGCAAATCCTATCATGAGGCCTCTGCCTGAAAACTTTAATGCAGCGAGTATGTTTCTTAAGATATGACGAATAACAAAAAAAAGCTATACAGGCAAAAAAAAGGATTATTTTTCCCTAACATAATGTTCCTCAATCCACAGTGACTTTTGAAATCTATTTCTTCCAAATTATAAAATATTAAATCAAAAAAATATACAAAAAGCCAAATGTCACACACCCCATGGTCTTCCTAGGAATCTGAAATCAGCTGGTAGCCTTCACTTCTCATACCTCCTTACTAAAAAAGCACTAGGGAATTGCTGACAGGGTTCAGCATTGTGCAGAATATTAAATATCTTTTTTGCAATACCCTGGTGACTCTTGAGTCTGTCTCCTACAGCACCATATGTACAGCTGTGTTGGAAAGAGGAAGCTATTAAATATATTAAAAAGTAGAAATATTACCAATAGACACTTCATCAAATAACTGGATCTCATTCATCCCCAAACAAAGCAAGAAATGTTAAGGTTACATCAACATAAGAAAATAACTCTGGATTTAATAACAGCACAAGCCTGTTGAACATATTTGAAAGTAAAAACATTGCTTAATAAAACAGATTAGTGTTTCTGAAACAATGAATATAGCTTTCAACCCTCAGAAAACTTTGGTAACAAAGGCACTGGACTCGGTCGGGAAAGGCACTGGGTGTCTCAGTTCCCACACCACAGTCACAGCTAGAAGGCCTTCAGCTCCAAATATATCACCCTCAGTTTACTGCCAACACAGGACTAGAAATATTTTGTATCAAAAAGGATTTAATAAAAGGAAAACAAAAAAGGAGTGCTTTGTTTGAGATCACATTTGCAAATGTATTCTTGTGAGTTTGCCCTCCTGCACACACGTCCCAGCCCTGCACCCACATCCCCAAGTGATGCTCAGAGGGGACAGCAACAGCACAAGCACACGGCCCTGAAAACTTCCAAAAACATCCACGCACTGCAGGACTCAGAGTTTGTTTTTTTTTTAGAAGTGAGTTTCAGAAAGGACATTCTTGAGGTTTCTAAGCACCTAAAGACACCAACGGGAAAACTGGACTTTCAGTGGCTCCTTCCTCATAAGAATTTCAATCGGCACTAAGCGAGTGCGCGCTGCCAAAACCCCACCAGCCGCACTTTGACACTTACACAAGACTTTTACAAGTACGGTTGTTCGGCTCTGGAAGCCTAACACCCATCGACTTTTAATAAGATCTGCAATCTTAAATGCCCAAGTAACTCCTGAAGAAAGGACTCGGGCTGTTTGTAAAACCCCCCCAGGCCCCACGTTGCACAGCCCAGCTCGAGGAACGCGCAGGTGTCCCGGGGAGCCCTGGGGATCCCAGCGGGGCTCGGGGAGAACTGCTGCACCTTCCCACGGCAGGAGCTCCTCTCTCACACTCAGAGGAAGGAATGAAAAAACAAAGAACACCTAGGAAGCCCTGCATAACTTCATATATAAGTAGTGCAGAGATCTGAATGTTTTGTTTAACCATCACAAGTACTACGTTAATGACCCCACTCAAAAAATTCTGGAATAATTTTGTAAGTCTCCAATACTATTTTTGTCAAAATTGGTGCAAGAGCCTATGGTTGTTTTTCTAGGTTTTGTTACTCAGAGTAACACATGAATAAACACGTATTTTTCTCCAATTTCTGAATATATATTTCTACCTATATTTGTAGCCTTTACATTTAGTAGCATTCCTACCTCAGTCATTCCCCTTTTTTTCTGTAGAGCATCTAGGTGTTGCAACTAAGGCAGTCACCTGCTGACTTGCAAGATAATTACAACTAATGACTAAAGAATTTTTAAGATGCATGTCTAAAGAGCACTGAAACTTCTTGAATCAAGTATAAATAGAAATTAAGACCCTAAGGCTACAGGCATTACCACATATTGCATCAAGATAACTGGTTTGTCCCTGAAGTGATAAGCAATTAAAAAGCATAATACTCCAGACAATGAAGTCACAAGATATTCAGTATGGGCCTCTTCTTTCCTATTATATGGTTTGTTAACATCCTGTTTTGCTAAATATGTAGTTTACAAATGCAAACAAACAAACACCAGGGCAAAGACAGCTTTGACTTGTCTTTGGTGCTCCTTCAACCTCAGCCACTGCACAGAAGCAGGACCAGGGTTTGAGGTGGTTTCTGCAGAAACAGTTGTCTGATGAACAAGACCTGGTTGGCGTTGCTGTATGGATTTCCACCTTTCCATCCTCCTGGAAGTTCACACCCCAGCACAGTCAGTGACAGACAAGTGATGCCAATCTTTTAGTCACTTTGATGCCAAGTCCAGCACTCACCGTAGACCCACCACCACTATGAATACCAGGCTTCAACAGCTGAGATTTTTCTACAGAGCCTTTCTGCTCTACTGAAGATACACTGGAGGAGGAAAAGCATCTGGAGCAGGAACTTCTTAACTCCTGCAGAAAGATCTGTCAGTGTTCATACACCACTGCCTACACAGACCTCACTTGGAGGTCTCCATGTGTTCCTAGACAACTTCTGTGGGACAAGCACAACTAAACCAAACCCAAACCGTGCAGTCCCAGCCATGCCTGCAGGACACTCGTACCTACAGTTCATTCCCATGGACTTTGGAGGATAAATTACACAGGTACCAGACATCTTTGTGCGATTATGTCCTAACTAGGAATTATAACAACTTTCCTATTTAGTTGACAAACCCAGAGAATTAGATAAGTTTACAGTTCAGCTTAACTGCTATGATGCTTTTTTTTTAAATCCTTTTTTTTTTGCGTTCCAGCGCCTGAAATTGCTGGCAAACAGCAATTTCATTTGACAAAGGCTTATGTAGGTACTGATGGAAGCTACCACAACAGCTGATATTTCTCTTCAGTGTTCTCTGTCGAGGCCTGCTGTACAGTGCAGCCTGCACGATCACGGCCTAAGATTAATCAGGATCAGCAAAGCACTGTGCTGTTGTGGTAAGCCTTCATTAACTCACAGTCCATTGACCACTAAAACATAAATATAAAATATTTATAAAGATGCTTGGTTGCAGCAACTGAAAGAAAACAATTTTAAAGAGAACAACACAAGGCTTCGAGGACATCTGAGTCTCACGCACGGCCCAAACTGAGGTAGGAGTTGAATGGGGATATGGCCCTGTGCAGAACAGAGAAAAATCCTCAGAAAAACAGACTGTGATGAGTTCATGTTACACTCAAGAATTTGTCAAAAAAGTTAATGTTATTGACACTCCTTCCCTGTGTAGGGCAACCACTGTGATTACAGTAAACTTCTCTGGAAGAGGTCAGGCCATAATGACATAACTGTGTACGTTAAGGAGTTTGATCACAGCATTGAAGAGAGACCTGTTCTGATTTAATTTCAAATTACGTTGATGGTAAGGCTATTTCCCACCCTCCCCAAGTGCAACCGTACAAGGCACACAAATTATAATGAAAAAAAGCCAACCATCACTTACTCTGTTTTCCGCCTTTGCTTGTCTTCAAATACATCATTCAGGCTTATGGCCACCTGTCCCAAAAACCTGTCCAGCCCCACCAGCGACCTGTGCATGACGATCAGGTACAGGATGTATTTTTCTGGATTCTCCTGCATGAGTAATCCAGGGAGCTCGAAGGAGGCCTCTTCCTTCCAGACGGGATCCAGGGTCTTCTCCGCCACCGAGGTGGAGTACTTCTCCTTGCCCAGCTGGATGATGGTGTAGGCATCGTTGCTGCCATTTTTACCTTTTGGCTTCAGACCTTTGGCTTGAAGGACCGTAACTTGCACGTGAGTTGGGAACCACTTCTGGGCTTGCTCTGCCAGCATCATCGCTGAAGATCGCGGCAGCAGCGACAACAACCGCAGGGTCCGTCAGCCCTGGGGCGGCCGCCTCCGGGCACTCACGGCGGGGGCACCTGCCAGGGGCTCGGCCGGCGCTGCCCTAGCGCTGCTGGCCGCGGGTGTCCCTGCCCAGCCCGCGGGTCCCGCCCTCGCCCCGCGGCCCCTCTCGCGGCTCCATGGCCGGGGTTCCCCCCGCGGCCTCGCCCTGCCCGCCGCTGCCGCTGCCGCTGCCGCCGGCCCGGCCCGCGCCGCCCACAGGGCATCCCCCGGGCGCG